TGGATTCTCCTTCTCTCCACACTATGTTGAGGAGGTTTTTCTTCAGTTCACGGGCACCGCTTACTAGTAACAAAGTGGGACGTGAAAGCCTACGCGAACTGCGCCCAACTTCTTATTGATCCGGGTGCCAGGTTCTGGTACCATGTGCGGGCTACTCCTTTAAAAGTGGTGGAGAAGGCCACGCACATGCACGACTCACTTTCTCTTGCTAGGTGCATCTGCGACTGGAAGGCATCTTTGTGATCATTTGGGCCGAACGACCCGTCGTACTTATCAAGAGGGGGGAGCTTGAAATCTTTAGGCATTGGGACTGCTAGGAGCTCGGGAGATAGGGGGATTGAACTGAAAGGATGGGTGCCTTGACCTCGCCCGAGCTTACCTCTTCTTTGCCTCCGAGCTCTTTTAGGTCGTGGGTGGCAGACCGGCGAGCTTGGCAGTGGCGTCTCTGCTTCTTGGTGGGCTCGGCATTCGTGTTGCTCACTTCTATACTGTCAGGAATGGTGTGTGTAGGAAGCAGCTCAGGCCGCTGGTAATGGCTACGGACAGAGGGCTCCTGCTTGGAGCCTGTAGCCAGGATTTCGAATCGGTTTTCCAGGAACGGGGTACTAGGCCTTGTGGGCTGAGGCGACGTGGGCCTGGCGAGCTGAGGTCCTCCCGACCTGACTGCCCGTGGCGAGGTCGGAGCGGCCGGTTTTTCTTGTCTGCCGCGGGAGGAGGTCTGGCTCCTTGGAGGGTTCTAGGGGGCCTCTCCTTGGCGAGATGGGTGCTCCTCTTGACGGCGAGACCTAGCTCACTGTGAGACTGGGTGCCAGGGGGAAGTTGCGATTGCTGAAGCTGAGGTTGAGGTAACTGGGGAAACTGCTGTTGATACTGATACTGGGAGACTTGGTGCAACACATGTTGTTGATAGAGCTGAAATTGTTGGAACTGTTGCATTTGGGCCTGCATGGCCCGCATGCACTGCATCAAGTCCTCCAGTTGGTTCGGGCTGGCCACCAGGGGCACGACCGAAGGTTCGTTGAAGGTCTTTCCGACTGTAGTAGGGAGTGGTGCGACGACGGGTGCCACTGCAAGAGGCACATTCAAGCTGGGGATTCTGTCCACCGAGAGGGAGATGATGAACTATCCAATGCAGACAGTAGGAAGCTGGGGTTGTTCCTTGGAGTTATCCATCTCCGTGCTTCATCCGATGTTACTAGAGGAAGCCATGAGTGTTGAGTTTCTAGAGAGTAAAGAAACGTGAAAGTTTGGAAAAAGGATTTTTGAAGCATTTCCCACAGACGACGCCAAATAATGTAGCGCGATCCGGTCACTCCTAGCTGGCACTCACGTGGCTCCCAAGAGGTACCTGAAACAAGAAGGAAGAAGAAGAATCCCCGGGGGGTTTGCCCGGCGGGAACGCTCCGACGATTAAGTCAATATTCTGTGTGAGAAGCAAAGGGAAGACGAAGGCTAAGAGTGCAGATTGTGCAAATGGTTCGAAGATACCTTGTTCCTTGAGAATAAGCCCCTTATAACAGAATTTCGCTGCATCAGGCCCTCTGGCTTCTGATAGGGCAGGTATAACCGCCACTGTCAGTCTACCACAGCCGTTACAGGCACGGCTAAGGTGGCACGTGCGGGGCCATCGTCGTAGGGTACGTGCCTGTCAGGTGTAAGGCACCTTCTAAAGGCGGCAGGCACGACGATGTCTGACGAGGGACATGGCTGCTGTCCTCAGGTTTGTCGGGTACGGTGGTTGGGCAGGAGATCTTTCGACGGCACGCCGAACTACCCTTTCGTGAGTTACCCTGTGTCGGGCTATCCCATAGGCGGCGAGTTGCTTGTGGCAAGCTATGCCGAGCTGTCTGGCCCGAAGTGTTTTTACCCCGGGGTGTCTAGAGGTGCGTCGGTGAGCTCCCGTCGGGGAGTGGCCTGAAGTCCATCGGGAGGAGCTCGGGTATCGAGAAAGGTCAGGGTACCCTGACCTCGGGGCACCCCGGAGTGCCTTAACCCCGGGGATGAGATGCAGGCAAGACGGCTTCTGGTGAGTAGTTTATCCGCCCAGTTGCCGAGCTCAACTCGGTGAGACCCTCCCCCCGAGTTGTGGTTATGTCAGTTGCGTTGTCACGCTGAGTCACTGTTTGAGCAAGGTCACGCCCACGTATACCCGTGCTGCGAGATCGGGCCAAATCACCCTCCATCACTTAGCAAAAGATAAGGCAGAGTAAATATCAAAAAGTTCTGCCATTAAACTTGATCCCTTACAAAGAAAGCTTGGCACCTGCTGCACAGATAAACGATTTGTCAGTATAATATACACAAAAACCACAAATAAGTTCTCCTTGAGAAACTCCTCCATCACACTTGAGAACAACATCAAAAAGGATCAAAAGCAGGATAAGAAGGTTGCTGATTAACTATCTGCCTGTCATCCCGAGAAGAAAGATGATCATTATTGACTATAATACGCACTTCTGGACACATCTAGCTTTCTAATTACTTTAGCACTTAAGAAATTTTAGGAGAGCTGTGGTTGAAAAATTATGGAATTGCGAATAAACCAAATTTGATAAAAAGCTACAGCAATCCAACTTAAAACATTTGTCAAATTATCAAAATCTGCAATTACTTGCAACAGATGTTTAAAAAAAAATCTAATAACGAGCTGAAAGAGAAGTGTCAAATCAAAACTGGTGATTAGGTCATGGGTTGCATATTAAATGTGTATGCAAATTTTGGAAGGCTATAACGTCTCACTAAACTGTTTATTTTTCTTATTTTGGGTAAATTTTCAAGATCCATGTGTTTATAGGTGTCTTGTCTCACTATTTTCACAAAAGAAAAAAAAACCTTTTTTACTCAAATTACAATTTTTAATATTTTTTAAAAATAAAAAATAAAAACTGAATTTTATGTTTTTTAATTCAGTTTTAAATATAAAATAATGCATATATTACATATAAAACATAATTATACATTATTTATTGATAAAATCCATATTTATACATACCCATATATATATATATATATAATATATATATATATATATATATATATATATATATATATATATATATATATATATATATATATACGTGTGTGTATGTATAGTTGACATAGCATGGTCTGACCCATTTGATCTAGACAGTCGAACCGATAACCCGTGACCTAAAGGCTTTGATTCTTAAAACATTGGTATTGGCATCAATTACCCCAGTGTCATCAATTACACCCGTGACCTAGATGTATCTGTGTTGTATTTGGGGGAGGGGTCACATGGAGTGCTGCAAATATTCTCTCCTATTCCGCTACTGAAGTAAGAAATAACAAAGGGTGATGGAATCAGGGTCCAGTTACAATGGGGTAATTGATGCCAATACCAGTTACAATCAGGGTCCATGATTCCTTCTTCCCTAACCCCATGTTTTTCCCCTCAGTGGCTGGAAGCTCAGCCATTTTCTTCAGTGTCTCTAGCAAAGGTTTTGCTGAAATGAAACCCCACTCTCCACGAGCATGAATCCATGTCCATATCTGACATTTTAACCACGGTTTGAAACTTCAAATCCAATAGGTTTTCTTTCTTTCATTACTCACCCTTTCTCTCTCATTTTTCTAAGAAATGAAGTGTTGAAGAATGAAATTGGTTTAATTGATTTACTTTTTTTTTTTTTTTTGAGTTTCACCTTTCAAGAGAGATTTATAGAGAATCTGGAAAGTTTCTCCCCCTCATCCAGTTTAGGATACAAATAGAGCCATTTTTCCTCCCAGGTGAAGAAGCTTCCACTTCCACTCTGGCTCTAGACAACACTATTTCTATCTGAAGTAAAAAAAAAAAAAACTTTGATGATTAAAATTTTCCTCTTTTACGGAGTGGAGCCACATCTGAGGAAGGTGTGGCTTCAAATGAAGTTAGGGCCTCCATATTGAAGGGATGAATGAAAGACTTAAACTATTAAAACTCACTTTTATTAACAAATTAGGTATTAATTATATATGACAAAAACTTGCTTTGGTGGTTGAGCCTTTGCATCCATTTGGTATATTTTTTGGGATGCATTGGCTATTTGATGGTTGTCCCTAATTTTTGTGATGGTCAATTTGCTTGTATTAGATGGAATGAATGGTTATATTTTACCTCAATGAATTTATTGGTATATGGATAATTATGACTATATGGAATGAATAGGTTGAACTATTGGCATTGATGAACTAATTACAAGTTAAAGGCAAATTTAGATGATTTATTGACGTATGTATGACTTTTTGGATGAAATAGGTTATTGAAGTAACCTATGTATCAACAGGTCCAAATATTGGAGTAATTTTAGTTCCTAGTAGTTTTTTTTTATGAATGCATGCACAAGTTTTTTATGGATGAGTAGACCTTTGAACAAGTTCTATGATGAATGAGAAAGTCTAAATAATGAAGCATTTCTTGCTCTTAATAAAATTTTTGAATGAGCAAGTTTAATAACACTACCATGCCACTTGGCAAGTTTAATCGCATGTGTCATACATTTAGGGGATGCAAGTTGTCATATTCATGCCATGTCATCATAGAAGTAAATTACATGCATACTTATAGTTGAACATGATTTTTTTTATATAAATTTTTTTTGCAAAACAAACACTGGAAAGTGGATTTTCTCACAAAAATTTTCTTAGCAAACAAACACATTATAACTAATTGAGAAAATAATTTTTCCTCTTCTCATCCCAACCTTTCTCATTCCATCATTTCTCAGCCCAATTTTACCAACAATCAAGCAGACCCTAAGTAACTCAATGGTCAAGTGAGATCGCAGACCCTTAATTAACTCAATGGTCAAGTGAGATCATGGCCTTTGTAACCATGAGTGCTTGGCTTCAAATCTTCATATCTCCAAAAGTATCTTGGGGTTTATTTCAAGGCAAATTTGATTCCAAGGTAGGTCCCGTCAGGACCAACCAAGGTTGGTTCGTATAGGGTAAATCCAAAGACCCTAGAACCGTGTGGTGGAGGTCAGTTCCAAGAATGACTCTACTCTTTAAAAAATTAGATAGAATTGGTTCAAGGCCGATTGAGGTCGGTTCCATTAGAACCCATCCATTTCCTCACCCCTAATTTCAATTTCGTTCCACATAAGTTAGTGGCTCTGGAGTGATGCCTGTTGTTTCTTTTATGGCTCAGAAATCAGAGTCTTTTGGATCCACCATTAATTATGTAACCCGAAAACAACCTCCCAAGCAAATGCATTTGAAATTTTCGAGATTGAAATTGCGAGCAGAAAATTATGTAAATCCAGATGAGTTGATTTCCCTCCACTGATTCTAATATAACTCTTTCTATCTTACACGTCGAATGTATCTAGTTAAAATTATCAATTTTCAGATATGCGATTCCACACTTCATTGGCCTCCCCTTATTTCCCTCTTACTCCTCTCCGTCGTTCAAAACCTAGTGGGTTTCTGTCTAAAGCAGTTTGCAGGTTAAGAAAGGAGAGCAAAAGCAGTTCCAGGCGTGGTTTAGCATCCATTTCTCTCTCTCTTTTTGGGTCGGGTTTCGTTCTTGGTCCTCTGCTTGATGGAATTCATTCAAGGGTTGAGCTTCAAATATATCAAAATGAATCAGTTGACATCGGACCACTTCATACAAACATCTGGGTATATATTGAAAACTGTATTACTATTTTTTTTCCTCTTCTGAATGGCATCTCTTGTTTCCTTTTTTCTGGTCCTCCTAATGAGCCCTAAATTACAGTAACTATCGTCTTGTGTTGCTGTAGGTTCCTAGCTTGCTTGGGGCGTTCTATTGCACGGTAGGTTTGCTACAACTCTACATAGATGAAAGGATCTCTCACAAATCCAAGGTTCCACCTGGAAGCTTGGACAAAACAGCAGTTTCACTAATGTGAGTCTCTCTCTATTGATAGAAGAACGATTTTATCATCATCCAAGTAAACATTATTACATTATATGATTGATTACAATAAAACACAAATCATCATACACAGGTAATAGGCATGAGATAAATTATAGAAAATGGAATTTTGTAATAAAGAAGATGCATGGTGTTGTCTTGTATTTGATTAATATAAAATATGGAGATAAATTATAGAAAATATAATTTTATAATAAAGAAAATATAAGGGGATGAACTCTTTTTGATTAATTATGCTCGATAACACGAGTAACTTCTGATTAAGAGTCAAATTTGGTGAATATTGGCTGGATTCTTGTGCTTCTAAAAGTGTTAATGTAGGCTCTGTTTGGATAGATTTCTACTTTTAAAAATAACAAAGTACAAAGTACGTAAATACTTTGATATTTTTGCTTTGAAAACTGTTTGGGTAAAAAAATTGAAAAGTAAGTTTTCCAAAACAGAAGTACCATTTTTTGTTTGACAAAATCATGTCTGTTTGTACTTCTAGTGACGGTTTCCGATGGTTTCGTGGTTTGAGACCAGTGACGGCAGTCCGACTCTAGCAATAGTGACCAGAGGTAGGGTCGGGAGTTTTATTGAGGGTAGTGTGACCACCCATTCGCATGAAAACGAAATCACTACTTTGCCAAAAGCATGGAGTATAAAAAGCCAACTACTTGTGTTTGGGATTTTTCATACTTTAAAAAACATGAAAGCAAAAAGTATAAAGTATATAATACAAATGCTATATCATGTTTTTTGTACTTTATACTTTCAAATGCACGAAAGTACTTTATAAAAGTCTATCCAAACAGGGCCATAGGTTTATTCAATTCTTGTGCTTTTGAAGGGTTGGTGTAAATTTCTTCACTCCAGTTTTGTATTTGATCGGCTATGAAGAGTGCTTTTTTAGGATGAGTCTTTTTTGGTGGCTTGATATTTTTTGAAAGCTTGAATCCAAGTGTAGAGTAGAAAACTAAGAATTTTTTTTCTTCTTTCTTTTCTCTTGAATTTGAAGTGAATTTGGAGTTCGTAGTAGTTTGTGATCTCTTGCAATTCTCAAGTGAGTTTATATGAGATTGTGAGAGAGTTCTCAACCCTATAGATGGAATTGTCAAACAGAGCCACTTTCTCCTTAGGTAAATCTATTTATATCTTAGGGTTAGGGTTGCCATTTAAGCCCACTTGTTAACCATCCTCTTGTAAGTGGGGTGTTAGGTTAGGGTTAATTCTTAATCATGCTCCGTTATCTAGGAATTAATTATTCTGTCATGGGTCTTTTCTATTATAATAAGACGTAAGCCTAATTGGATTTGATATAGTTGGATTCATTGGTCATGTATTTAACTACTTATAGACATAGGCTCTGAGCTTAGGGAAGCACATATTAACTTTGGAGGTCACCATATAAATCAGGCCACTTATTTAACTTAAAAAGTTCACTGTCTGCAGCAGCTCTAACATTTCAATTCTCTTTCTTTCAACCAAGGGCATTGGCGCTATTCATTGAATTGAGTGCCGAAATGTACAAAGCTGGAGTACCAGATAACATCGAAGCTTACATACTATTTGCTGTGGCTGAATTCATATGGTTTTTCCTAGATGGCACATGGTTGGGATTCACCTTGGCGTGCATCATTGGTCTTGGTTGCCCCTTGGCTGAAATTCCCATCATCAAGTAATGAGCCTCCTTTCTTATTACTACTTACATGGAATCATGGATGAATCATCAATTTATCAGGTAAAAACAGTCAAATTGGATTGGTTTTACTTAATCTCTCTCTCTCTCTTATATTCAGGCTGTTTCACCTTTGGTATTACCCCCATGCAAACATTGAAGTCTTTGGGCAGGTAATGAGTTTTACTGTTGACTGGCTTGTTGAGAAGCCCAACATGCCAATCTCTTGATGGTTGAAATGAACTCTTTTGCTTCATGCAGGGTTTAGTAAGTTGGACAAGCACCTGCTACTTCGTTTACACACCATTCTTGACAAATTTGTCGCGCTGGCTGAAGTCGACCATTACTGCAGATGATGAAAAAGTGAACATGTAACAACCAATTTGGGAGCTTCGGGTTGAGTGAGCACAACTCAACCAAGTCAACAAACTGAAACGGGGTTTATTGGGGGCACCCATGTTCCGTCTTAGGTTCTCAAACCAGGAAATAAGTGGATTCCGACCAGTCAAAATCCATTGTTGCAATAAAATCGTAACATGTTAAAACCACTTTTGGTGAGGATTAAAGACGAGCAACTGCACTGCATTAATCACCAGCATACAACAGAGAAATTTGTTGCTTTTGGAGATGTTATGAGTGAGAGGAGAAATGTGCAGATCTAAAATAAATTATATGTTGTTTCTGAGGGCTGATCAATGTTAATTCTTTTTACAATATCTGAATTACATATTTTGATTGAAACTGATAGAACGAATATACGATTTCTTTTTGGACTTTGATATCCCACTACCTTTTTGAGTTGGAATGTCAATAGCAACCAGTTGGAAATTGGGATCCAAGAAGAAATTTTAGCTTCCACTGATGATACCGAGACCATGTGGTACTAAAAACAGACAGGGTGGTTCATTCCTCCTTTCTGGGCCGTCTTTGGCTGTCTAAAGGTGGGGTATTAGATGGCCAAGATCTTTCTTCCCCTCCATCTTTTATCAACTGCTAAGATCGTTTCAACATTTTCTGGCAGGTTGATACCTGCCTACATGTGCAGCATTAAAACAGCAAGGCGGGGAGGAGAGCTCCTACCCTCCTATCGTGATGAGGGAATTTATTTGTGGAATACATCAGCTTTCATCAGAGGACAAAATCTATGTACACAATTGGTTTTTCTGAAGCAACAAAGGATTGATATTATCAAGATACTTATGTTTAAAACAAGAACAACTTATGTTTCACATATTTTGGGGAAATGTCAGAATTCAGAAAGATACTCAAATTAAATTACAGAAAACTAACATGGTATTGAGCGCAGGAGTAAAGTTCTTCCTTTATCTCTTGTTAGTCGAAAAGAAGCAGATCAGGGCCCTTGCACCAGAACCTGATACTTAACAACTTTGTAATTTCATTAATGTGTAATGGGGCCAAAGCTCAATTTTATGTATCAGTAACATTGAAAGGCCTGCATAAATCATTAAGGAATGTATACATATATGCACTTGCATACTCGATAAATCTGTTTGACACTGTATGCTTAAGCTTAACCTTGTGTAATACAGAGTGCTCTCTCACCTGATGACAACATATCTGTCATTTTGTGAGAGTTCAACTCCCTAACTACTTGGTTGACGGCAATCTAGCTCTTAAACACAACATCTGTGATATCTGGGAACTTCTCTCTAATAGCTGCTTTGATTCCTGATCCAATTGACTCAGGGCCAACATACTTCACGAGGCAATTCCCTCCCTCAACAGATAGCACTTCCACACTCCCGCCATAGTTTTTTATGGCTGGTCTTAGTATATCAAGATGACTATTCACCACCTGCAATTGCAAATCATTCCTTACTTCTGTTTTTATTAATTAAAATCCAACTTATGTGGTATTGTTTTTGTTTAACTTTATCAGCTAAGATGAGTCAAGAATTGACCTCAACAGTTGTCTCACTTGGTTGGTCATCAAAGACTTGGCGAATATCCTTAATTGCATCTCCAAATTTCTCCTTCAATACTCGTTCAATTCCCATTTTCATGGTGGTTGTGGAGCTAGGACAATTTCCACATGCTCCTGTATACCCAAACTATACATTCAGCTAGGTTGAAGTACAGGAGATTTCTGGAAATAAAATAGATATCCATGTGTTGAATTATAAAATCAATTGATCACGATATATATTTGACCAGCAACACAATTCGGAATTTATTAATGATAAAGTATAAGCAGAATAGGCTTATGGACTACAAAAATTTTTCATTGGTTAAAAGGGATGGCATGATATTACTTTTTTAAGTACTATATCATTTAGATATGTTAGAATTATAAATTATAATACAAGGTATAGTTCATATAGAAGCTCTACTCCAAGCGTTTTCTGAATTTGATGTTATCTAAAACACCTTTTTTAAATAAATCCTCATTTTCCCTAACAATCATTGTTGCACCGTGCAAATTTCCCTCCTCGTCTGCAAGTCTGCAACTTTCCCTCTCCCACTTAAACGATTATATATTTACATGACCACGAGTCACCCTAATGGCTATTATTATCACCAACATTGATTTATTGTATGAATGATGATATGTACAATCACCATGCTTTTTTTTTTAAAGAGAGAAATATACTTTCCATTAAAAGAGACCATAGCCCCGGAAAGAAGACTACAGGGTTCAAGTACAACCAGCCAAGAAAACAAACTACAAGAGCCACAAGAAAAAAACAAAGACTAGGATTCTACGAAGAATAAAACACTGAACCAGGGCAAAAACACCAGCAGCTCTAACTCAAAACAGTGAAACACTCCTTTATCTTCTTGAAAGAAAGGCAAAAGCCACTAAGGTCAGGACAAGATCTGACATGAGTTCCTTTGATCTCTAAATCCTGTCTGGGCCAATGTGTGTGTTAGGCTAGGACAAGATTTGACATGAGTTCCTTGATCTCTTAATCTTGCCTGGGCCAATGCACTGAGTGTGTGTGTGTTTGTGTTTTGAGAACACATGAAATCCAGTTAGATGCCTTTAAACTCACTATGAGATTAAGAGATTTTTCTCTTCTGCATCTGCAATTTATGCTCATTAAATGGGGGTTCTGAGACTTTCTTGTCTTTTTCTACATTCAACAATCTCTTAATGAATCTCTAGGTGGAAACAATGACTAGTTTGGTTGGTAGACTTCATCAGCAAATTCCTTATTTTTGTTCAGTCAGACATACAAGCAAGAAAATGCTAAACTATTTCTTGGGACCATCATTTATAACATTTCAGCCATTCAAATGTGCCTTAAGAACTGTGCTTTTGGTTTGCCAATTCACATGTTTGGATGGTTTAGATGCTAGAGACAAGCTTTAGCATCAACAAATAACCCCCTTGATCTTGTTATCATATAAAAAGCCAAATTAACATGTATTGTAGTTTAAAAAAAGGACTTCACCAACTGAAACTAAGCATAGTGATCTTTCAATCTTATTTGGAACCATTAATATTAAATTTATATAGAACAAAATGCAAGTCATTAAAAAGGAATTAGCAACTGTTAAGGTTTGTGCCTTAAATTCTTTGTTGCGACCCACTTCATGAACCCACTCTGAATTAAGTTGAGAAAAGCCCAAAGGCAAAATTTCATAGTGGTTTGTGGTGGAAGCGTAGGGCTTGCCACAAATCACCATTGGGGGTGCGGGGGCGGAGCCCCATGGTGGTATGGACCCGATCCATATTCAGATTATGGGTCCAAACCAAATACGAAAGGTGTTAGGAACCTGCCTAACTCAGGGCTCTTCGAGGGGCCAACCTCCTGAATTCTTGGAAGGAGAGGGGGAGAGAGAGAAAGAGAGAGAGAGAGAGTTTAATGCTGAAAGAGTCCTCCTCTATTCCTTTTCTGCTCTACTAATAGTGCTATAATCTTGACTGTTACAGCTGCTACAAGTGGATGGCAGTTGTTACAAGTGGCTGGTTAGTTGAGCTGATGTGGCCTCCTCTTGTAAAACTGACCAACTGCCTTCTGTTGGTCTGTTCCAACAGTCTTGACAATCC